ATGTTATGACTTTAATCTCGTAATATTACAACTTTATTCTCATAATATTATAACTTTATTTTATACGACTTTAATGTCGTAATATTTTGACTTTATTCTCATAATATTATAACTTTATTTTATACGACTTTAATGTCGTAATATTTTGACTTTATTCTCATAATATTATAACTTTATTTTATACGACTTTAATGTCGTAATATTTTGACTTTATTCTCATAATATAAAAAAATAAAAAATATCTATTTGTGTGGCCCTAATACTCCGTCGTACTTTGAGTATCAACAGACAGCATATCTTAATTTTCTCTTCTTTTGAGGTGTATTTATAGCTAAGTTGCTCATATAGGGAGTTCAGGCCGTATGTGACACACTGTAAGCTTATAATCAACTTTACCTCATATATAGAAAAAAAGTGAAGAATGACTTTCCAAAAATATAATCACATCTACAGTAATAATCGACATCGAGTGTTAATCATACCTCAGTCACTTTAAAGAAAACAGATTGGTTAGAAAGCTAAACCCAGTTTGTTCATGTTAGATCAACTCTTCCTACATCCAGGCTGCTTTAATGTTGCTTCACTGCAAACAAATTTAAATTTGATCTGATTCTGAACCCAAATGTTCTGAACGCTGAGCTGCACAGGAGGCATCTCAAAGTGTCAGTTTTCTCATGTTGATCATAAAGTCCATTTGTGACGAGAAGAGAAAAGAAAATGCTCTTAAAGCTGCTTACCTTGTGCTTGTGCTAGCCTCAGAGAGCAGGTGCAGAACAATATAGTCCAAAGAATTAGAGCTCTCCTGCAAAGTAAAAGGGGAAAAAAGAAAGTTTTAATACTTTATTCTTTCAAATGAGCTTTGATTTATACTTTAAATGTCCAAATCTATGACACATTCCTACGGAACGATAACCTTGAGCTGTAAATTTCAAATTTGCTGTTTATTTACTGCCATCAAAGCTTTTGATATTAAAAAGGCGATAAAATAAATTCAAGGTAGTGTTTGCATTTTTGAAGCTGCACGCGTTGTTTTAACTCATATTGAACTCATTCCACACTGAAATGTTTGTTTGAAAGTTACGAGACGCAGTAGAAGTCTAAATCATGTGCAAAAGATTAAGCAGTAAACCTGTGGATGCAGCGTATTTTACCAGACTTTCTGTTTAAAGACAAGCATCTGTTTCAAGACAAAAAAAGGTTTGCCTTATCTCTTTATTCCCTCTGACCAGATAAGCTTCTGAGACCCAGTGTCTTTGTGCCACATTACTTTAACAAATGATTCAAAACTTAAAATGAATCAAAAGCCTGGGAGTCGGATATTATCCCAGGTCAACTGCAAACTTCCTACCACTGATTGTTTTTGAAGTTAGGTGATAAAAGTTGTGCTGATTACTCTTAAATAACAAAAAAAGTTTAAGAGTTGAAGATGTTTCTTGTTTAATTCTGAAGTCAGTTCTAAACTGCAGTGTGGAGTTTATAGAAGGTAACTAACTGCAGAACAGAAGTTTTGTTTTTGAAATTTTTTTAACAATTTCCACTCTGAAGGTGTTTCGAGTGGCAGAAACCCTATATATATATATATA